CAAAGTAGAGCCGCTGCTCCTCCACGTCAAGAGGAACCAGTTGAGGTGGCTCAGGCATTTGGTTAGGATGCCTCCTGGATGCCTCTCTGGTGAGGTTTTCCAAGCATGTCCCACTGGGAGGAGACCCAGAGGAAGACCCAGGACACTCTGGAGGGACTATGTTTCTCGGCTGGCCTAGGAATGCCTTGGGATTCCTCCAGATGAGGTGGCCCAAGTGCCTTGGGAGAGGAAAGTCTGGGTTTCTCTGCTTAGGCTGCTGCCCCTGCGACCCGACCCTGGACAAGTGGAAGAAAACAGACAGACAGATAATATCTATTATGATTTTTTCCATGAATGATTTCATGTTTGAATTATTTTTATTTTTCACTTTAAACATTTTTAGAACATAAAACAATAAAATTACAATTTCACAACAGCAATGTCATAGTCTGTGTTTATTTTGCTTTGGTTTTCTTAGTTTCAGTGTTTCCCCTGAGGCATTCAGTGTTTTTTCATGTTCTCACCTGTTTGGTTCCTGATTGGCTACCACCTCCAAGTGGCTGCAGCTGATACTAATCTGGCTCATCACTGTTGGCTTCATAAGGAGGACCTGAAGATCAGTTCTTCGCTGATGCATCGTTTACCTTTGGTACGATTCTCAGCCCCTCTATGAGTTTTTTTCTTAGAGTTTTTCTAATCCTGTTGTTCTTTGTGCTCAGATGCCTTTTGATCTCTACTTGGACAATCTTCCTCGTAATCCTGAAGCCCCTGAAAGAGAGCCACTCATCTGTCCTCGTGCTGCGCTGCCTGTCTGCCTCTAACTGGATACAACACCACTTACCTCAGAGATTCTCTTCTCACCTGGAAACCTTGGACCTACTCCTCAGTGCTGTTCCTTCACCTCCCTCCTGTAAGAACAAAACATATTCCCCTGCAAAATCCTCTTCATTTATTTATCTGCTCCATTACTCACCAAGACCGTCTTCTCTTTCAGGACTGAACCCCAAAACCCCATCACCTGTAAATAAAAGCACTTACTTTTTAATTTCTGTCTCTGGGTCTGTTTGTCACTGCATTGCTCAAAACTTTGACTAAAACCTCGTACCTGATAGTATGCATCAGCCAAAACATATGTCAAAGAGCAGTGCCAGTGACGAACAGCACTTAAGATCCCTTGAAACTAGAATGACTTGCAATAATAGTTTGTTTCATAAATTATTTCAGATGCAGCAGTCTATGGGTTCCTTATTAGACCAAGTGTCTAATCGCCTTGCCTCTCTTGATACCAAAATCAGCAATGTAACTCCTTCCACAGTTTCTGCTCAACCGTCCGCTGCTCCCCTGAGTTCAACCATCGCCACTCCTGGTCGTGAGCCTGACCTGAGACCGTCAAAGTTCTTTGAAGGTAACCACGAACATTGTGGGGGGATTTCTGCTAAAATGCAGATTGGCTTTTTCTCGTTCTCCGTCTCTATTTCCCAATCACTCTGCCCGAATTACATACATAGTCTCAGCATTAAAGGGCAACACATTACAGTGGGCACTAGCATTTTTGGCTTCACATTCTATTTAAACTTTAACTTTTCAATTATATATTCAGGAGTTTCAAAAAGTTTTTAACCATCCCCTCCAGCAGGAGGAAGCAGCCAAATGCTTGTTGACACTGAGAAAAGGTCAGAGATCGGTTTCGGATCACTCGATTGACTTCTGCATTCTCACTGAGGGATCTGGATGGGGCAAGTTGGCGCTCAAGGGTACGTTTCTTAACTCCCTTTCTGATTCTGTTAAAGACCAACTGGCCTCCCGGGATGAACCCGGGAGTTTAGATGAGTTAATTTCTCTTGCTTTCGGAATCAGTAACAGATTGAGAGAACGACGAAGAGAAAGAGACTCCACTTTCCACAATCCTCTGCCTCTCCGTTTCCTCCCTGCTGTTAAGGTTCCTACCACTCATCACTCATCTCCTCCTGAACCTGAACCGGAACCAGAACCGATGCAAGTGGGTCAGACACATCTGAGAGACAGCGGCATATTGCAGCTAAAGTATGTATCTATTGTGGGAACAAAGTGCACTTTGTCGCTACCTGTCCGGCCCGGGGAAACAGACCAACCCGTCATTAAATCAGGGGACTTTGATGGGTTCTGATGGCTTCTCCCCTGTTTCTTTGTTATCATTGCCTGCCACCATCATTCACAAACAAATCAAACTCCCCATATCAGCTTTAGTGGATTCCGGAGCTGAACAGAACTTGATTTCAAGTGATCTGGTGGAACAACTTCAGCTTCCTACTGAACCCCTCAATTCTCCTCGCACGGTGGCTGGGATAACTGGACAAGTCATCTCCCATATCAACGCCCGCGTCTTGGACCTCCATGTAATCATCTCCAGTAATCACCATGAAGTCTGTGAGTTTTTTTATTTTTGAATCTACCTGTCCCCAATTAGTTTTTGGATTTCCATGGTTGACTAAACATAACCCTGTGTTCAACTAGCCAGAGAAGAGAATAGAAAGCTGGAGTAAATACTGTCTTCAAAACTGTTTACGCTCCACCATAACCTGCTCTATTAAAGAGAGAGATCAGATTGAGGAGGTGGACTTATCTAAAGTTCCTGAAGCCTATCATGACTTAGCCCCAAACAAAAGGCTTTGTCACTTACTCCTCATCGACCATGATTGTGCAGTCGACCTGCTACCTGGCGCATCTCTTCCCTCTAGTCGGTTATATAACCTGTCAGGGCCTGAGAAAGAATCTATGAAGGAGTATATTGAAGACTCTTTAGCCTCTGGTATTATCCACTTCTCCTTTGGGTGCAGGGTTCTTTTTTGTGGAGAAAAAAGACAAAAAACACTCAGACCTTGCATAGACTACCGTGGCCTGAACCTAATTACTGTCAAGAACAAATATCCTCTTCCGTTGAAAGATTTTGTCCGTGAACAGGTATACTCTGCAACCATTTTCTCTAAACTTGACCTTAGAAATGCTTATCATTTGGTGAGAATAAAGAAGGGGGATGAGTGGAAGACGGCTTTTAAAACACCATTAGGGCATTTTGAATACCTGGTAATGCCATTTGGACTCACCAATGCCCCTGCCGTCTTCCAGGCTCTCATCAATTATATTCTGAGATAATTTTTTAATGATTTTGTGTTCATCTATTTAGACGACATTTTGATCTACTCCTGAGATGAATCTGAACACGAGTCACATGTTCGAGCTATCCTACAATGGTTGTATGAAAATCAGCTATTTGTCAAAGCTGAAACGTGTGAATTTCATGTAACCTCTGTCTTTTTTCTGGGCTTCATTTTTGACAAAGGACATTTTCATACTGATCGTGACAAGGTAAAAGCTGTCACCAGTTGGCCCACTCCTTCTGATAACAACTTCAGCGATTTCTGGGCTTCGCCAACTTTTATTGGCATTTCATAAAGAACTACAGCAAGGTGGCAGCCCCCCTCACCCAATTGACCTCCACTCTCAAGACATTTAAATGGACTCCAGAGGAAGACACAGCTTTTGGTGAGTTAAAGGCTCTATTTTCTACTGCTCCCATCCTGTGCCACCCAGATCCTACCAACTAGTTTATTGTCGAGGTGGACACATCTGATCTTGGAGTGGGTGCAGTCCTTTCTCAAAGATGCAAAATTGACAATAAGATTCACCCGTGTGCATTTTTTTCTAAACGTCTTTCTCCAGCTGAACAGAACTATGATGTAGGAAACAGAGAACTGTTGGAAATTAAACTCGCTTTGGAAGAGTGGCATCACTGGTCGGAGGGAGCAGAGGTACCATTCATGATCTGGACAGATCACAAGAACCTTGCCTACCTGCAAAATGCCAAAAGACTTAACCCCAGGCAAGCCCGCTGGTCACTGTTTTTTGCCCGTTTTAATTTCACTATCTCTTATATCCCAGGTTCCAGAAATATAAAACCAGATGCCTTGTCCAGACAGTACTCATCCTCTGAGAACTCCAAGACCGAATCCAACATCCTCCCAGCTTCCTGTTTTGTGGGAGCTCTCACCTGGAGCATTGAGAAGGACATCTCCGAGGCTCTTAGGTCTGAACCTGATCCGGGCACAGGATCAGCTGGAAAGAGTTTTGTTCCCAAGGCTGCCATGAGTAAAGTCTTGGACTGGATCCACACCCATTGTTTTCTTGTCACCCTGGCATTTCTCGCATGCTCTCATTTTCCAAAAGACATTTCTGGTGGCCCATGATGAACTCAGACATCAAAGAGTATGTCACTGCCTGTCCCACCTGTGCCAGGAACAAAAGTCACCACCAACAGCCAACTGGACTCCTCCAACCTCTTCCTACACCTTGGCGGCCCTGGTCCCATATTGCTTTGGACTTCGTGACCGGTTTGCCCCCATCCGAAGGTAAAACTGTCATCTAACTATAACAGATCATTTCTCCAAAGCAGCCCATTTTGTCCCCCTGGAAAAACTCCCGACTGCTTTCGAAACCGCCCAGCTCCTGGTTAACAACATCTTCCGTCTGTATGGTATCCCATTGGACATCGTCTCAGATCAAGGACCCCAGTTCATATCCCGAGTCTGGAAGGCTTTTTGCAATGCCCTCGGTGCTAAGGTTAGTCTCACCTCTGGCTATCATCCGCAGTCCAACGGCCAGTTAGAAAGATGTAACCAGGAGCTGGAGGCAGCCCTCAGGTGCATAACCAATAGCAACCCATCCACCTGGTGCAAACACTTACCCTGGGTAGAATATGCTCATAACTGCCATACTTCCTCTGCCACCGGTCTTTCTCCTTTTGAGGCTTCTCTTGGTTATAATCCACCTATGTTTCCCAGCCAGGAGTCCGAAATCCTAGTCCCATCTGTTCAACTTCATCTACGCCACTGTCGCCGTATCTGGAGACAAACCAAGGATGCATTCCTCCGCACTGCTCAACAAAATAAGAAGTTTGCTGATAGGCATCACATCCCATCCCCTACATACCAAGTAGGGTAAAAGGTATGGATATCCACCCACGACATCATCATAAAGGATGCCCCAAGAAAGCTTGCACCCCGTTTCATTGGGCCATTTCCCATAGAACGTGTAATCAATCTTTCTGTCATTCGACTCAGTTTACCCTCTGCTCTGAAAATCCATCCTACTTTTCATGTTTCACAAATTAAACCTGTTTCTGAAAGTCCTCTGTGCCCTCCTATTGTCGCCCCTCCAACTGCCCGGCTCATTGATAACCACCCTACATACACAGTGAGGCGCATTCTGGATGTTCGGCGCCGTGGGCATGGTTTTCAATATTTGGTGGACTGGGAAGGTTACAGACCAGAGGAACGCTCATGGATCCCCATGTCCTTTATCTCGGATGCCTCCCTCATCTCCACCTTCTACAAGGACCACCCAGAGAAGCGCCCTAAATCGCCTGGATACGATGTTTGAGGAGGGGGTACTGAGGCATTCAGTGTTTTTTCATGTTCTCACCTGTTTGGTTCCTGATTGGCTACCACCTCCAAGTGGCTGCAGCGGCCACTAATCTGGCTCATCACTGTTGGCTTCATAAGGAGGACCTGAAGATCAGTTCTTCGGTGATGCATCGTTTACCTTTGGTATGATTCTCAGCCCCTCTAGGAGTTTTTTCTTAGAGTTTTTCTAATCCTGTTGTTATTTGTGCTCAGATGCCTTTTGATCTCTACCTGGACGATCTTCCTCGTAATCCTGAAGCCCCTGAAAGAGAGCCACTCATCTGTCCTCGTGCTGCGCTGCCTGTTTGCCTCTAACTGGATATAACACCACTTATCTCAGATTCTCTTCTCACCTGGAAACCTTGGACCTACTCCTCAGTGCTGAGCCTTCACCTTCCTCCTCTAAGAACAAAACATATTCCCCTGCAAAATCCTCTTCATTTATTTATCTGCTCCATTACTCACCAAGACCCTCTTCTCTTCCAGGACTGAACCCCAAAACCCCATCACCTGTAAATAAAAGCACTTACTTTTTTATTTCTGTCTCTGGGTCTGTTTGTCACTGCATTGCTCAAAACTTTGACTAAAACCTCGTACCTGATATCCCCTTGCACACCTGATTGCCCTTGTGTATCTCCCAGGTGTTTCTAATTTGTCCTCATTAGTTTGCCTTTATATTTGGTGTCTTGTCCTCATTCTGTGTCCGTTCATTGTGCTGTTTACCCAGCCAGTTGAGTGTTCTCTGTGTTCCTGTTCCTCTGAAAGTTTTTTAGTTGCCCTGCCAGCCTTTTTGTTTAATTAATAAATCTTTTGTTAAACTTTGGATTTTTGCCTGCGCCCTGCGTTTTTCCTGCCTGCACCTCATAGAATGAACGGAACACAAAACACCCAGACTGCAGGCAATATTTCTTTTTCTGGACTGCCCCCCTCCACCTTCCACTGGGGGTTGGTGGAGTCTTCCACCTTTGGCTTTGGGTTTTCTGGGGTCCAGCCGTTCACCTTCAGCTCGGGGTCTTTGGCGAGGGTCCGTGCTGAAAGCTTTGACGCCAACCCCCCCACCCCTCTTGTTCCTGAGTCGGTGGTCTCGGTGATTCCACAGTCGGTGGTTCCCCAGTTGGTGTTCCCGGTTGTGGTTCCTGAGTCAGTGGTCCTGGAGGTTCCTGAGTCTGTGGTCTCGGTGGTTACACAGTTGGTGGTTCCACGGTTGGTGGTCCCGGTGGTTCCACAGTCGGTGGTTCCACAGTTGGTGGTCTCGACAGTCCCAGAGTTGGAGATCTCTGTGGTCCCAGAGTTGGATGTTTCGGTGGTTCCTGAGTCGGAGGTCTCGGCGGTCCTGGTGGTTCCAGAGTCGACCGCCATCGCCTTCTCATCGCCTGGGTCGTCACCCATCACCTCCTCATCGCCTGGGTTGTCGCCCGTCACCTCCTCATCACCTGGGTCGTCACCCTTCGCCTCCTCATCGCCTGGGTCGTCACCCGTTGCCTCCTCATTGCCTCTGTCGCCTGCGTTCGCCGTCACTGACGTTCTTTCTCTGGCAACCTCCGCCGGCTCCCGTCTCCTCCCTGGGCTCCTCGTCTGCTCCCGCCTCCTCCCTGGGCTCCTCGTCTGCTCCTGTCTCCTCCCTGGGCTCCTCGTCTGCTCCCGCCTCCTCCCTGGGCTCCTCGTCTGCGCCCGTCTCCTCCCTTGGCTCAGCGTCTGCTCCTGTCTCCTCCCTTGGCTCAATGTCTGCTCTTGCCTCCTCCTGGGGCCTAACATCTGTTCCTGCGGGGCTTCGTTGTGGATGGTTTCCTGTCCACCCCCCAGAACTCTTGCTCCATGTGGGATGGTCTCCTGGCCATCCCCCTGAACTCTGTTTTGTCTTTGAGTCTATGTTGTCATGTATTTCCCTGAGTTTTGTCTATCTCCTCTTGTGGACGTCAGGAGCCGTCGTTGAGGGGAGGATCCTGTCATGGTCTGTATTTATTTTGCTTTGGCTTTCCTATTATTTCAGTGTTTCCCCTGTGTTTCTCCATTCAGCTGCCCCACCCTTGCACACCTGATTGCCCTTGTGTATCTCCAAGGTGTTTCTAGTTTGTCCTCATTAGTTTACCTTAATAATTGGTGTCTTGGCCTCAGTCTGTGTCCATTCATTGTACTGTTTACCCAGTCAGTGTGGCGTTCTCTGTGTTCCTGTTCCTCTGAGAGTTTTTGAGCTGCCCTGCCAGCCTTTTTGTTTAATTAATAAATCTTTTGTTAAACTTTGGATTTTTGCCTGCACCCTGGGTTTTTCCTGCCTGCACCTCACAAGCAATGGAATTGTCAACATCCAAACTACCTGTTTCTGGCTGTGGTCAATGCACACAGGTACACTGCATTTTCTACATTGACTACTGACTTTCCAATCTTTATTACTTGGACGGAGCTAACTCCTCGTCCTCTATGGTGGGCTCCATTTACTTTTGTCCTTGGAAGAAGTTGGGAGTTTTGTCACTGCACACCTTCTCATTTTCTATTTGATTTGAGTTTGTAGTTGGGGGTAACCTTGCAGTCGACGTGTAAGTGTAAGGTGTAATAAGCTATTCTAAGAGCTCAATGAAGAAGAGCCATTGTGCATTGATGATACCACTAGGAAATTCAGGGTGCTGAGCTGTGAAGGTGGTGTACACATTCAGAATAGTGATGTCACAGATAACATTAACATCATGGATAACCTGTGATGTCCAGATAACATCACAGGGCTAACCTCAACAAAGTTTATAAATTGTATTTACAGTTTGGTCTTAGCAACAGTTATAATAGTAATTTTATTATTTGTATTAGTTTACAAGTTGCATTACATTTTTGTATTATAAACATACTGCAAATACAGAAATTTTCACATTAAAAGTATGGAGGACCCAATCTGACATAATTAGAAATAAAAGCAGAATTATATACATAGACCAATAAATAAATAAATAAATAAATAAATAAATAAATATGCCCAGTACCTAAAATGCATCAATTAATTTAAAAAAGGAGAACGCGCCCTCATGCTTTATGATTTAATTGACCTTCATATTTATTTTTTCAGCTTAGTTCCAATAAATTATATATTTTACCAAATAATTTAAATTTTACTGTTATATATATATATATATATATATATATATATATATCTTTTGTTTTTCCTTTTTAATTGCATGCATCTGTGTCTTAAATGATCACGTTTAAATATTTTTTTAAATAATTTTTTTCACAAGTCTTTATTTCCATGTGTTCCTTTTACATTTCTCTGTCTCCTGTTTTTACATTACCTTATGCATTTCTGCCTTATTATGTAAACAAGGTGGGCGGACCTTCTTGGGTCAGCTCCTCTGCTATTGGGCAACAGAGAGGAGGAAGCAGGATTGATGTGCCAGTCTACTGTGCATGCTCATGCTGCCTCTGTTTAGAATCAGAATCAGAATGAGCTTTATTGCCCTTGTCAGTGTAAACATAGACTAGGAATGTGCAGTTTAGAACATCCATTCGGAGAGAGACATACAGTACATAACAAACATGGTAGAATGAATGTCCACAGTCATTCGCACTGAGGTGCGCTACCTTTTGCAGCTTAGAATACACATACAATAGGAAGGGTGAGTTAAAAAAAACGCTTTGATCCTATGTTTTACACAAAAACACACAATCATGCACTCAAAAAAACCCCACTCTGCATACAGTGCAAGACAGCTAAGGAGGGGAGGGGTTCAGCCTAAGGTTTAAAGTTTAGTTTAAAACAAAGGCAAGGAAGAAAAACACTAACCTGTGCCAGGGGAAGGCACAGGCAGCCAGAAACACAGATTTACAATTGATTTTCTTTTGGTCATTATCGCAAAAATTTAACTCCCAAGGATTCCATGGGACTCATTAAAACAAAAATGCATTTTTCATCACATTATGCATTCGATCTGGTGGCACTGGTGCATGGCAGCCCCACTTTCGTCAGTGTGCCCCAGGGCAGCTGTGGCTGTCAGTGTGGGAATGACTGAAATGTGCAGTAAAGTGCTTTGGAGTCTGTATGGACTTGATAAGGTGCTACCATTTACTTTCTTTGTGCTGATTGTCATAATCAATTTTACCGAATCACACAAAGACTTAATTATGAGCTTCTCTTTATCTCCAGTCTATTATAAAGGATTATTGATTCTGCTGGGTCTCACAGGATAAGCCTGAGGGCCCAGACTACTTGTATGTTATTATTTAACTTGGACTTTGCTAATCAGCATTTTTTATTGAATTGGGTTGTTTGTTTGTTCGTACATTACCTTTTGTTGTTTAAAATGAAGCTTGAAAGAAAGTTTTAATCTTTTGAGCAATGTACTCAGCAGAGGGCGCTGTACGTCGGTTCATTACTTTCATGCATTTTTTAAAATAAAACAATCAACAAAAGGGCCTTTTTAGTGAAATCAAATTCAGACTTTTTACAGCTGTAACTGCTTTAATTGATTATATTCATCACATCACACAGACAAAACTGTCTGGTTAATCATACAACACTTCTTAATGTTCATTTATTTGTTTCTTTCAATGTTTTGTGCTGAAAGAAACTTATTGTGTTTTTCAAAAGGAAACATAATTACACAATTAGGACATAGTTAATGTTTCAGGAGTCTGGGACAGACATTTTTTTTAAGAAATGTCAGTCTTATTAAAACAAGTTGTGAGTCACAGGGTAAAGGAAGTGAGGTGGTGAACAATTGTTTCCTCCACAGGATGTGGTCAAAAGAGATAGGCAATAAAAAGTTTCATTTTTTTCTTTGCATATTATTGTCATGATATTTAATGCACACTGTATATAATACGTCTTTAAACAGAAGGTGGACTTACAGTATTCCTTTTGTTGTACAGTGTAATGAGAACATTTGGTTTTGAATTAGTGTTTTATAAAAAATCTGAACTGAACTGAATTAAATGTGTGTGTGTGTGTGTGTGTGTGTGTGTGTGTGTGTGTGTGTGTGTGTGTG